CCATCTGTTTGCTCCAGACTGGTCAAGGTAAAATCATGGAAGGACCTCTTACCATCCCTGTCAATTTTCTTGTCCTTTCTACAGAGGAATCCTAAGACAGCCTCTGGAAACAATGTGCTTGCTTGGGATTGGGGAAGGGTAGATTGAGGGGAGGAGTGGGGATACTATGTTCCATTCCTCAGGGTCCTGCAGAAGCTTTTCCTCTGATGGGAAGCAACAGGCAAGGCAGCACGGGGCAAGAACACAATCAAGTTCTCGAGATCTTGGAAGGAAAGTAACAGCCTGCAGTGCATCACATGGGTGTTTTTAGGGAGTGACTTGGGTAGGGAGAGATTCTTCATTTGGTGAATCACATATTGTATGAAGGATAATGTTAAAATACTATCCAATGTGCTTAGAGGTTAATTCCTTGATTCATTTATAACCTTCAACATCATACATGGGTGATATGTTTCTACTGCTTATTTTCAAGAATCTACATGACCTTGTCCATACATTGTTATTTTCATTTTTAAAAATATATTTTTATTTATTTATTTTAGAGAGGGAGAGGGGGAGAGAGATAGAAACATCAATGATGAGATAGAACCACTGATTGGCTGCCTCCCGTACCGCGCCCCCCCCCCCACCCCCACCCCACTGGGGATCAGCCCACAACTCGGCCAGGTGCCCTTGACTGGAATCAAACCCGGGACCCTTAAGTCCGAAGGCTAATGCTCTATCCACGAGCCAAACGAGTTAGAGCTATTATTTCATTTTTGCTTAAGACACAAAGAATGTTATTCTCCAGGTGAATGTGGAAATCTTGATTTCATTCATTAATTTTTCTGCATGAAAGTTTGGGTAAGAAAAAAGTTCTTAAGAATTAAGAAAAGGTAGTTAAGAAACCAGAAGTATTGTGTATATTTAGTTAGTGGGAAAGTAAGTTTATGAAAAGAGGCAGCATAGTGAAGTTTTTTAAGTGGTGAGGTTCTAGGTTCAAGTGTTGACCACCACTTCCTAACTCTGTAAACCCTGAGCCTCTCTAAGCCTCACTTTCTTCATTTGTAGAAATAGGGATAATAATAACTACCTCGTATGATTGTCTAGAGGGTAAATATTAAGTCAAGTGCTTAAAGTAGTAGCTAGCACATAGATGCTGATGATTTGTGTAACAGCACCAATCATCAGGAAGTTCTTAATGGCTAATCCAAAACATACTGCTAAGGGCATGGATTTACTCTGAGCTCTTGGTTTCCAGCATTAAAAAAAAAAAGAAAAAGAAAAATATGAAAAGATGAGTATTATCACCGTCTTCACTTTACAGATGAGGAACAGTTAGGAGTAGCTTTGAGGGCTAGTAGGGCCACATGAAGGTGATCTGCATGGACCAGAAAGCCCATCAGCATGGGCTCAATCATGATGTTGCTATTGAATGACCTAAGATCCCTTCAAACATTTGATCTCATCAGGTCTCTATAGCAGGGTTGTTCTATCCTTCAGATAGCTCTTTTATCAGGAAATCAGGAAAATTCAGAATTGCTGGAGGAGGAATCATGCCCACATTTCTTAGAAATCTAGTGGACTTTCTAACTTGTTTACATGCTGGTGGGAGAATTGGGAGATTTAGTAAAAAGATTCTAGCCTGAATATAAAGACAGCACTGAGAGGGGGTACTTTAGTTTATTTAATCTTAATCAACTCTTATGGACCTTATTAATATGCATGAGAAATCATCAGGGTATTTGTTTAAAATGCTAATTCTTGGGGCCATACCATCAAGAAATTTTGATTAAGGAAGCCTGGGACTTGGCTAAGGAATCTGCATTTTAAATGTACAGCCAGGTAATTCTGATGTAGGCGATGAGTGGACCACACTTTGGGAAAACTAATCTCCTTAATTAACATCATTTTTAAAAATAGCACTTATTATTTTCTGATTATAAAATTAAAAATTAGAAAATGCTAAGAATGGCCCTGGCCCATGTGGCTCAGATGGTTGAGCATTGTCCCACACACCAAGAAGTCACTGGTTTGATTCCCCGTCAGGGCACATGCCCATGTTGCAGGCTCCATCCCCAGTAGGCAGCCGGTTAATGTTTCCCTCGCACTGGTGTTTCTCCCTCTCTCTCCCTCTCCCTTCCTCTCTCTATTAGGAAAAGGGGTTTTGGGGGGGGGAATCAATAAAAATATATATAAAAAAGAAAATGCTAAGAATAAAAAATTTTAAAACCATTCAATAATTATACTTTTTAGCTATGACTATAGTAAATATATTGCTGGCTATCCCTCTAATCTTTTTAAAAAAAATATGCAGTCACTTTTCCATATATCTTTTCAGGTACTCATAATCAAGTTTATTGAGTATTCAATTTGATAGATATGTACTTTTATATTAATCCTTTAGTGGTTTTATAAATTATTTCTATGTTTGAAATACATATAAATTCATGCTATGAAATTCACTTATATTTCTGTTGGGTCTGGAAATTGGACTATATAATATTTAAGGTCCATTCTAAGAGGTCATACTTGTAAGATTCTTGCAATCCTTTCAGCATAAGAATTAACTATGTTCATAATTGATGGTAATATAAAATTACATAATCCAAAACTTAAACTCAAAGTTTTGCCCTTGAACTTTATCTTTTGGTGTACACCTGCTGATGAGACATAGCATTTCTTCAAAAATGATATACAGCATGGACACAGACAATAGGATTGTGAAGGCCTGGGGTGAGGGCAAAGGCGAGCTAGAAGAGGTAAAGGGGGCAAAAACGGTACATTCGTAATACTTTCAACAATAAAGATTTTTTAAAGTTATACAAATGACCAACTATGTGAAAAAATGTTCAGCATCACTACTAATCACAGTTACGCAAATCAAAACCAAAACAGATATGCTCTTACATCCATCTAGATGGCTAATATTTAAAAAAACAAAACAAAACAAAAAAAAAAAAACACCAGCAAATAACACGTGTTGGTGAGGATATGGAGAAATTGGAACCTTTGTGAGCTACTGGTAAGATTATAAAATGGTGCAACTTCTATAGAGAACAGTATGGAGGTTCCTAAAAAAATTAAAAATAGAACTACCATATAATCCAGCAATCCCACTTCTGGGTATTTACCCAAAAAGAATTGGAAGCAGGAACTTGAATAGTTATTTGTACAGCAATGTTCATAGCAGCTTCATTCACAATAGCCAAAATGTAGAAGCTACCCAAGTAGCCACCACTGGATGAATGAATAATCAAATGTCGTATATATACTAAGTGAGAAAGCCAGTCACAAAAAAGACAAATACTGTATGGTTCCACTTATCTGAGGCACCTGAAGTAGTCAAATTCACAGAAACAGAAAGTAGAATGGTGGTTATCAGGGCCTGAGGGGAGAGGGAAAAGAGAAGTTATTGTTTAATGTATACAGAGTTTCAGTTTTGCAAGAAAAAAAGTTCTTATGATCTGTTTCACAACAATGTGGATATATACTTATGCTATTGAACTGTACATTTTAAAATGGCTGAGGTGGTAAATTTTGTTTTGTGTTTACCACATTAGAAGAATATACATTGTAAAAAAAAGATAATAAAAAGAACAATGTTGCCCTTTTATAATATTTGGATAGTGCAATGAATATGAATTTTGGTCCAAATTAATGAAGGCATATATGTCTAAATAGAGAGGGAGAAGGACGAGGAGGAGGTGGAGGAGGAGGAAGTAGAGGTAGAGAAGGAGAAAGAAGAGAGAAAGATCTGATTAGAATTGTGGTGAACTTTTTACTGCTTCACATTGTAAGGTTAAGCGTTTTTTCTTTCCAACTCCTCTTGCTATTTTAATAAAGAATGCACAGGTATAGCATTTTTTTATACTGGAAACTCATTGAGACATAGTCAAACAGAACAATTGTTATTGTTGGCTGCTAATTTGAATGGAATCAGGTCTGTTTCCAACGATGTTTTAATATCTAAAAAGACTGAAGTTAAGAGAAAGAATCGTGATGCTTTTCCCATTTTGCTTGATTAGGAACAAGGTGCTTCTTCGCTTTATTTTCCATTGAGGCTTATTAATAAGAAGCCATCCTGCCTTTATGGTTAATTACAAGTTTTCAAGTTATAGTTAACACTTTACTGTAAGGAGGATTGTGGACAAGGTAGACTGGTTCGTCACAAATGACCAGAGTTACTAAGATGTTCTTTTTAATTTAAAGGTTTACACTTTCTATTATTGAAAATTTCAACCATATAGAAAAGGAGCATGAATAACACACTAAATTCCCAAGAACCCATCACTTAGCTTCAAAAATTATCAACTCATAGACAAGCTTGTTTCATATATATTTCCAACTTCTGCACTCACCCCGATTATTTTGAAGCAAAACACAGACATCATATCATTTAAGCTGAAATATTCATTACCAATCTTCAGAAGGGGAAAAATGATAATCAAGAATCCAGCATAGTCACATATGAACTATTTCTGTTAAAATAAATCATATACATATGAAGAACAGGGACATTTTCAGTGGTCAGTTAACATATATGATAGTGTGGTACACACACACACACACACACACACACACACACACACAGTCTAACGCAGAAGCAAATACATCAGATGCACATAATGAAAGTATAAGTTTGAATATTAAAAGCATATTGAAAAGTCATACACTAAAGCAACATCATCGTCAGTAAATATTATCATCAGCTCTTACGGAGGTCACCAAAGACTGGGAGTAGTGTGCTCAGAACCACGTTCTGGTTCCAGTCCTATGCTGTCATCAGAAGTCTGTGACTGTGTGAAGTACACAGGGCTTACTTTCAGTCTTGTGACTTGGTGCCTTTTCTCCAAAGCCTCTCCTCACCAGTCTTGGGACTGTGCCTGAAATGCCACATTACAACATCACTCCCAATGGTTTGCCAGCACTGCTGGGCCGACTGAGAGCAGGACAATTGGGACATTTTCAGTCATGAGCAATTTAACTCTGTTTTACGTAACTTTTTTTTCTCATTGCAGAAGTCGTGACTTCATTACAGACAATTTGGAAAATACAAAAAAGAACATCACAAACACCTGCAATCAGTGGTAAGCACCAATATTATAGAGCATTTTCTTCCCTTTTTTTTCCTAAGCACTTTGTGTGTGTGTGTGTGTGAACATGGGATATTTTACATACTGTCTTTAATCTGCTTTCATTACTTCAGAGTATATAGTGAAATACTTCTATATAGTTAAATATTCTTTCCCAAGATAATTTTTTATTCTTACAAAATATTCCATTGTAAGGAAGGACTATAATTAATGTCTTTTGGGAAACATTTAGATTATTTCCTTTTAGCTACACCTTTGTGGGGTACACTGTTAAAGCTAAAGCTCTGTACATATCAGTATTTATTTCCTTAGAAAATAATCATAGGCAAAAAATAATTGGGGCTAAGGGTATGCATATTTTTAAGATCTCTCTTTTTTTCTTTAGATGTAATGCTAACTGCCCTTTAGAAAAATTGCACCAAATTATATTCTCACCAAGAGTTTATAAATGTACATGTTCCTGTGTACCCTTACCAACATTATTTCTTCTTTTTTTTCTCCCCACTTATTTTTGATTTCAGAGAGGAAGGGAGAGGGAGAGAGATATAGAAACACCAATGATGAGAGATAACCATTGATCGGCTGCCTCATGCCCCCTATTAGGGATCAGGCCAAAACCTGGGCATGTACCCTGAGCTGGAATCCAACTGCAATCTCCTGATTCATAGATTGGTGCTCAATCACTGAGCCACACCAGCTGGGCCCAAAATTATTTCTTGTAATAAAAAAAACCAAACCTGTTAGTTTATGAAAACATGCACGTATTAATTTTCTTTTATCCATTTAGTCTTAGTTCAGAATAGAGTTTAATAAGTTTGACTAGAGTGTGATAGTGATGGGGTAGGGGAAGGAAGAGAAGCAAGATCCAGGATATGGGAACTGCTAATGTATTTTATAAAAGAACACTAGTGTCTCGGTGCATGGATTCATGCACATTGAAAGGAAATTAGAAGAAATATTTTAATATCGCTATTCGCCCTTTCTCTACAGTAAAAATGTCAACCAAATTCACAATTGACAATGACAGATGGAAACACATGTGTGTGATTGGCACCAGTGAGAGCTTTATATGTATCGTGCATGCTCGAGTCAACTTAGCCTTTTATAAATATAGAATAAATGTGCTTAATTAGACCTGCTTTCTGATTTAGCTAAACTTTTTCCAGTCCAGTGAAGCACCCCAACTTCTCTTTCAGGTAATTGTCAGCAACACAGCAGTAAATATCAACACGAAGCAGATTATTATTGTAGATCACCCAGGGAGAATAAAGGGTAAAATATTTAACTGTAGCAGTGTTTGACTATATTCTGCACAGTGAGAAAACCTGAAGTCATTTTCAAGTTCCACCATTTCTTACTTCTTTCCAGTCGGGTCAAGTTTCTAAACTTTCTAAATCTCCATTTTCCGGCTAATGAAAAGAAAATAGGATTCCACCAAGTCTCCTATCTACCTACTCCAGGACTTCTGTGACGATCAAATGAGATGAGGCATGTGAAAATGCTTCACAAACATTTGGTTAAAGTGTAAAATGTTTACACCTGGGTATAAAGCAAGTCATTTTCCTGGGCTGAAGAAACTCCAAGGAGGCTAGTCACTAGGGAGAGGAAGCTGGGCATTGCTATGTGACATCACTACCCAGCGCCCACAGCCACCGTTTCTGGGCTGGGCTGTGGGCTGCATTTTGTGCCATGGGTTCTTGGCAGCATTGGCTGCGATTTGGCAGGATGTCGCTCCAGGGTGGTGGCAGGGGCCTGTGTCCCACTTGGGGAAGCCGAGTGTTGGTTTGTCAGCGCCAGGTCCATGGTGCCGTTTCCTTTTAAATGGCCAGTGCGCATCATGGCAGGTTCTGTGTTGAGTGTCTGCCCCCTGGTGGTCAGTATGCATCATAGCTACTGGTCAGACAGACACTTAGCCTTTCATATATATAGATTGGAATGATACTTAAAAGTTGAAAAATACAGTCCATAAAGTTTCCATCACAATGGGGGAACTTTTTTTTTTAAATATATTTTATTGATTTTTTTACAGAGTGGAAGGGAGAGGGATAGAGAGTTAGAAACATCAGTGAGAGAGAAACATCGATCAGCTGCCTCCTGCACACTCCCCACTGGGAATGTGCCCGCAACCAAGGTACATGCCCTTGATCGGAATCGAACTTGGGACCCTTGAGTCCGCAGGCCGATGCTCTATCCACTGAGCCAAACTGGTTAGGGCACAATGGGGGAACTTTTTTTTTTTTTTTTTTAATATATTTTATTGATTTTTTACAGAGAGGAAGGGAGAGAGATAGAGAGTTAGAAACATCGATCAGCTGCCTTCTGCACATCTCCTACTGGGGATATGCCCGCAACCCAGGTACATGCCCTTGACCGGAATCGAACCTGGGACCTTTCAGTCCGCAGGCCGACGCCCTATCCACTGAGCCAAACCGGTTTCGGCGGGGGAACTCTTAAGTAAAGGGTTGTGAAGAGTCAGATATTTTACTCACACCCCTCCCCCCCCCAACCCTCCACCCCCTCAGGGAGAAAGATCCAGAGAATCTCCCCCTCTCCCTCTCACTGAAAGAAGCAATGACCACAAGTCAGTTCAATCCAGTCTAAAAATCACCAGGTCTGTAGAAGGAAGACAAGTTCTTTTCCACTCCTGTGACCTGAGGCTCTTCTAGAACTATGACCCTGTTTCCTCATTAAGAAATTGAGGGTGACATCACACCTATCTTGAAGATTTACTGTGGAACTAAATCAAGTCATACATTTGAAAATATTTTGTAAACCTTAACTGTTACAAAGGAGTGTGGCAGATGAATTAAATGCTAAAGTCATCAAAACAAGTGAAGTTAAAACTGACTGCAATAAGTTACTCAGAAGTTCCTTGAACTGCAGGAGTGCAGAAAGATGCTCACACTTAGGAGTCTGAGAACAAAGACCCTCTGACCAAGAGCTGAGACAGATACAGTCTCAGTAAAATTGCCAGTGGAATTGCTGCAGTGTAACTTATGTTCATGTCCCCCCTCTTTCTGCCAAGTGCATAAATGAATCTGAGTAAGTTAGAAGAAAGTATGATGCAACTGTTATTCTACAATTTTATATTGGCAAAGTCGAGAAACCTCTCTGGGCTTCTTTATTTGCCTAATGGTGTAGTTCAGCTGGATCAGGGTTTCATCCAATTATTTCATTTGACAATTATTTTCATTGTTTACTATTCTTACTATACTCCAGGCTGCTGTGCTGGCTTGGGGGGATGGGAGGACCACCAGGAAGGAGACACAGTCTCGCAGTCTGACCACAAGAGGCGGGCGAGTGGTGAAACAGTTTCAACTTTGATTTGAGGAATCTGGTTCTTTGATCATGTTCTGAGGAATGCGGCGAATGTTTAGGAGAATTATGTAAAGTTACATATTTTGTTATGAATACTAGCTACAATGCTACCTTTGATATGGATTAAGTTACTGACGTTTTTTGTTGTTTATGTTACCACTTTTTTTATTCGAGTTAACCTGTTTTCAACCTGGGCTAACTCAAGTGTTTTTAATTGAAAAGTAATATACACATATGGAAAAATTCAAAATGTACTAAAAAGGCAAACAATGAGAAACAAGTCTTTTATTCTAGACCCCCCTCCTCCCACTCCACACTCTATCCCCCACTCGTGCTATCCTCCTATTCACAGGTAATCGGTGAGTCTAAAATGCTTTAAAACAGTGGTTCTCAACCTTGGCTGCACATTCGAATCACCTGGGAACCTTTTTAAAATCCTGATTTCTGGGCCTCATCCGCCGGAAATTCTGTTTCTTTGTTTGGGGCCCCAGAAATCAGGATTTTAAAAAGATTCTCAGGTGATTCGAATGTGCAGCCAAGGTTGAGAACCACTGCTTTAAAAGAAACAGGTGAGGTGATCCCTGTGGTCCGGAAGTTAAAACACTGAACTGCATAATGTCTAAAGTCCCTTCCAGCTCTAAAACGAAAGCCAAGTCTTCTCGGGTACATGCCCCAGACAGCCTCGCCTTGTCTCACATTATGCGTGGTAAAAGGACAGATGAATGCAAACTGAACTAAAAAATATATACTAGATTCAGAACTCCGGAAGGACAGAGGACAGGACTCCCGGCACTTGCGTCGTCGGTTATTTACGGATTGAATCAAGGCTCCCTCTAGGAGGCTGTCAACTCCACGAGGGCAGGAACCTCCCCACCAATTTTCACCGCAGCCCCTAGCACACAAGGAGGGACCTCGGGGCCCAGGACCCAGCAGCCCGGCACTGAAGTCGCGGCCAGGAACCCGGCGTGGGAACGCAGGAAGGGATGGTCACGTGACCCGTCTCCCTCCTCCCCTTCTTCTGTTTCCCCCCCCCCCCCGCCCCCGTCCACAGGGGAAGCCTGATTGGGCTGGGCTGGGCCGGGGGCGGGGCGTGGACCGCAGGCCCAGACGTCTCCCCGTAGGGTCCCGCCTGGCTCTGCCGGACTTGCCTCCGAGCCCCACGTGACCGCCCCGCCCTCCCCGCCTGGCCTGCGCGCGGCGGCTGGGGAGCCGGAGGTGCAGGCGGGCAGGAGAGGGCAAAACCGCTGGCGTCCGCACGCCGCGCGGAGGCCGCACGAGATGATGAGGGCGGAGCTTCCGGGGCGGAGGAGGGGCAGGGAGAGGCCGCCAGTGCGCGCGCGCGGCCGCCTTCCCACGCGGCGCGGGGTGCTGACGCCCGCGCGGTCCGAGGACGGGGCGGGGCCGGGGCGGGCCCCCACGCTCCTCCGCCCCTCCGAGTCCCGACTCGCCCTCCCCCACAGTGGGCCCCATCAGCGCGGAGGTGCCCTCTGAGCTTGGCATCGCGGTGGCCCGGCCCGGCCCGCGGGCAGATGCCCCGAGCCCCAGGCGGCGGTGCGGGAGGCGGGCGTCCGGCCCCGGGCCGCTGAGTGGGACGGACGGACGGGGCTGGGGGCCGCCGGGCGCCGCGGCGTCGGCGGCTCCGCGCGGACCATGTATTTCCTGAGCGGCTGGCCCAAGAGGCTGCTCTGCCCGGTGGGCAGCCCGGCCGAGGCGCCCGTCCACGTCCAGTCCGACCCGCAGAGGACTCTCCTCGCCGTGCTGGCCGCGGCCCGCCTCAGCATCTGGTACAGCCGCGTGAGTAGAGCCGCCGCCGCCTCCCGCTCCCTCCCCGCGCCCCGGTGCCGCCCAGCCCTCAACTTCCACCCGAGTCCGGGACCCCGACCCCTGGGCTGGGCCGTCCCCCTCCTCGGACCCGGGTCCGGGCAAGTCCTGCGACGGGGGCTCCGGGGTGGATGCAGCCGCCGCCGCCGCTGCTGCTGAAAATCCCGGTGCCACCGCGTTGGACCGACCGCCCTGCACCGGGCAGACCCCGCGCGCTCCCGTAGCTGAGCCCCGACTTGCCCTCCCCCTTCCCCGGAGCAGATTGTTTATTAAACTTCCCACCATGAGAAATCCGGCCGCTGCCTGTCCCCAGCCCTCCGGTTTGAAGGCCGTTGGTTTGGAGTCAGGGAAAGCCTGTTGGGCTGCGTACCCGGCGCCAGACTTCACAGGCCTCTGACAACTTACTTGCAGCAGCGACAGCTCCACCAGAGTTTTCCATTTCCCCCCCTAAAGGCCGGGTTCTACAGCTCCTCGCTTCTCCCCGGCATCTCCCCACTTCGAGGCTAGTCCTTTTCTTTGCTGCTCTTGGACCCTTGGGTAGAGGGTTGTGTGTGGGGAACGGAGGGAGAGAAGTTACAGGAGCAGAGCTAGAGCTCTAGTCTGTCCGCGCTGCGCCGAGGTAGTCACACCTGGAAGGAATAAGATTTGGGTAGAGCATGAAGCTGAGTTCTGTTCTTGTTTTCTGGGAATCCTGTGGGTTGGTTTGTTTGTTTTTTTCTTTGTATCTAATTACCGAGTAGATAAAAGAAAAAGTTGCAAAAGTAAATAGTGGATGGGATACACTATTTTTTTGAGAGCTGTCTACAAAGCTACAGAATAGGGTATAAAAGTGTTGTTCTATTTTTTTTTTAAAGAAGGCAGTACTAGTCGATGTCCGAGTGAAGTTTTTCTCTCTTCAGAGGTTGCTTGACCATCTGGAAGTAGGTTGTAACCTTGGCTTTATTAGATCTATGTGAAATACTGGTTTTAGTTAAATTAGTTAAAACCCCCAGCTTGCTGTGTTTAGCCATTTGAATGCCTACAAGGTCTTTGGCTATCCTCACACACAACCCTAGTAAAAGTAATGATGAGATTTAGACATTTCTGGTAATGTATCTCCTTATATAACTATCGTAGCTAAACTGTAAATCAGATTTTTACCATTAAGTTTTGGCTGATTTAATTTCTAAATATATATATTAAAACAAAATAGGCTGTTATAAATACGACAACATGACTTCTGTCTGTTGCTTGTTGCATTTTTGAATATATATATTGTATATCATTTGGTTCTTAAATGATATACTAATTCATTTACATGGTGTATGCCAGTTAAATAAATTTTTTATTTGGGTGTATCTAATTATTTTAAATACATGAAAAGAAATAATTATACCTTGAATTTTAAATTGTTTCAGTTGTTTTCTAAGTTTAGTGCAGTTGTTCTCAACCTTCCTAATGCTGCGACCCTTTAATACAGCTCATGTTGTGGTGACCCCAATTTCATTGTTACAAATTGAACATAATTAAAGCATAGTGATTAATCACAAAAACAATATGTAATTATATATGTGTTTTCCGATGGTCTTAGGCGACCCCTGTGAAAGGGTTGTTTGACCCCCAAAGGGGTCGCGACCCACAGGTTGAGAACCGCTGGTTTAGTGGTTAATTTCACTCTAATGTAACATGTTTTATTTTTTTAAAATATATTTTATTGATATTTTATAGAGAGGAAGTGAGAGGGATAGAGTGTTAGAACCATCGATGAGAGAGAAACTTTGATCAGCCGCCTCCTACACACCTGGGGATGTGCCCACAACCAAGGTACATGCCCTTGACCAGAATCAAACCTGGGACCTTTCAGTCCGCAGGCCGACGCTCTATCCACTGAGCCAAACCGGTTAGGACTAATGTAACACGTTTTAAAAGACTAATATTTAGCTTCCCTTATCTCTAAAAAGGCAGACGTAACTTATTTTTAGCAGAATACAACTTAATATGAGGGATGAATAGACCAGAAGCCTGTAAGTTACTTTAATCCTCTGTAAAAGAAACAAAAATATGCCTCAGTTTTGTGAATATTGAGAATATCTGTGTGTGTTTGCTTGCTTTTGGAGTTACCATGTAAATACTATGTCTATCTAAGACAGTCTAGAATTTAAAAGTACTCATATTCCTTTCATTTAAACTCCTACCCTACATACAGATAGCTACTTTCTACAGAAGTCCTGGAGCCACCACCATTAAGGTCCTGTGTATAAAAAGTTAGATTGTAGGGAAGCCATGGGTTCAGAAGTATAAGGTAAAATGAAATGCAAGAATACCTTGGGGGTGGGGGAGAGACCATAAAGTACTGTAGGTTTATGAGTGGTTAGTCTTGCTCTTTGGCATCAGCTTTGTCCTTTAAAAATGAAGTATTGAACCAGATGATTTTAAGGTCTTTAATGATATAACTGGGTGAATGAGGAACAGGTGCCTATAACTGGGTGAATGGAGAACAGGTGCCAGACTCCAGTTTCCAGCTTCCTTTTCTTGAGATATGCTTCCCCCCCCCCCATCCCCCACTAAATCAAAGTTTTTATTTTGGTTTTTAAATGTCTAAACTTACTGAAACTGTGTATGTTAAAATAAATTTACGTTAAACTTTTTTAAAACATGAAGACACCTCTAGCTAAATTGAGGAGCTATCAGTCCCACATAATTTAGAGTGAATTGGTGTAAAATAGTGTGTATGGGTGAGAACATGAAAGCTTTGATTTTGGAGAGGTTGTATATGCAAGTAATTTTATAAAATAAAGTGAATTTTGAAGATCTAAAGGGTTTTGAGGAATAGTTGAGGTTTTAAAAGCTGCTTGAAGGCTTTTGGAGACAAGGAGAGAGACATCAAAGAGATGAGAGGATATACAATTTGCTTACTTCAAATTTGGGTGTTAGTAAGTTAAACTCACTTAGGAGGATGTATCTTTTTTAAAAAGAAAAATAGCCTTGTGGAAGAAACATGCATTTATAGTCTAAGCTGGTTTTTTAAAAAATATATATGTACACATATATATTTATTGATTTTTAGAGAGAGAGGAAGGGAGAGGGATAGAGAAAAATATCATTCATCAGCTGCCTTCTGCACACCACCTACTGGGGATTGAGCCCTACTAGCTGGGCATGTGCCCTGACCGGGAATTGACCCTGTGACCTCTTGGTTCCTGGGTCAGTACTCAAGTGCTGAGCCACACCAGGCTGGGCCTAAGCTGGCTTTTTTAATATCCAAAAGAATTGTTATGTATAAAAGGTTGATTAGTCATTAAACTGTGGAAACAAAGTGAAATCACTAAGAATAACTTCTGTACATTTCATGGATTTTCTAGTGAACTTTTACTTATTCCTTATAACTACTACTAGAGGCCCGATGCATGAAATTCATGCAAGTGTAGGCTTTCCTTCCCCCGGCTGCTGGCAACAGCTTCGTCCGGAAGGCCGTCCGGAAGGATGTCTGGTCTAATTAGCATATTATACTTTTATTATAGATTATATAGCCTAAGTATCTAATGGAGTCCCAGTGTTATAGAGCCATATCTCTTCAAAATTCTTCCCAGACTCCAAATTTGAGAAATATAGTATACTGCTATTTAGATGTGTTAATGAACAAGAGTTTCTGTAGATACTTTGCTTTTTCATTTCATTTTTAGTGTGAGATTGTAACTTGTTTTCAGTGTAACTTTATATAAATTTGGTTTTTATACTTTGTGATTCTACTTAGAAGTTCTAAACACTACTCAAGAGTTTACAACAAAGATCATTTAGATATTTTGGAACCCCTAAAAAGGGTGCTCAAAAAAGATTTGGTATGTATATGTTAAATTGGGGTGGTAGAGATGTGACTTTATGGAACTGCTGATGATGTATTTCTGCCAAGGGTATTGTAAAAGGACTTGCGTCAGCTTTGAGAATGAAGCTGCTGTTTAAAACATGTTATGATTCATGATTGACATGAGTGTTTTGTGAAATGAATTGTTTTGTATTGTACCAGAGATACTAGAATTATTCCTATAATATACATTTAACTGTTAATATGGAAGTCTGCATATGTAAATGTGAATCACAAAATGATACCTTAGAATGCTCTAATTCTAAATTAGTCTTATCTCAATTTTCAGGACATTGATTGTTTCAAATATATATATTAGCCTAAGCAGTATTCTTGAACACCTCCTGGGAAAGAAAGCCTAAATGGGCTATATACCAGTATGAAAGGGATGAAGGGGCATGCTCTTATGTAGCAAAACATTTTATCCAAAGATATTAGTGTGTTAATATGATACTAAATGAAAATTTGTGAGTTATCACTGTGAAGATTACTAATAAAATTAGCTTATGAAGTAAATTATGTGTCTTTAGCAACTCTAATTAGAATCTTGTTCTCCTTGGTGTATGCTAATAATAGAAAATAGTGAGTTAGGTGTTCAGAGAAACAAGTTGTAGGATCAGGTATGTGGTTAACCGTGTGATCTCAGGAAGGACATTTAATTTGTCCCATGGTTTCCCAACTCTCCCATTTCTTACTCTTCCACATCTATTCTCTTGCTGCCTTCAGAGAACCTTCCTTATGAACCACTGTTTGGAAGTCTATTAGGGTTCAGTGTTGGTTAAAGAATGAAGTTCAAACTCTACCTAGTTTGATATCAGAGACACTCCCCTGTTGGAATGCTTTCTTGCACCATCTCTGCCTATCAGCATATTATTCATCCTTTAGCTTCTGTTGAAATTCTGCTTTCTATATGAGTCATTCTTTATCATAACCAGAATGTACATTTTTTTATAAACTGTATTGTAAGTTTACCACATACTTTATTTCTCTATCTAGATTATAACTGTCTGGAGGGCAGAAATGATCTTATTTTGTATTATTAATAATGCCTTGCATAAAAAGTGCTTAATAAGTATTTGTAAAATAAATAAATGAATTCAGGATATCTGCCCTATGTGTAGCATAGAATTTT